GAGAATTTTACGAATTCAAATAGATACTGAAGCGGAAAAAATTATGCAAAGCCCCTAAGGGAGCTGAAGAACATAACACTAGTCGATTCCCCACTCACTGTGTGTTCCATTCATGGCTACAGTAAAGTCAAAGAAAAGTGCCTAATGCACATATTTGTCCTTGATACCATTATTACGTTTGATGTCATAATAGGTTTCGACTTAATAACTCAGGCCGGATGACGTAGAAGACCCATGTTTAGTGAACGCTGAATTAAAAAAAAATGATCCCTAAACAAGTGTTTTCGCACTCTAACAACGCGCTGCCATTAAACACCTCGATCGCCAAAATTTGTCTGGAGACTGAAGAACCCGTATATTTCAAGCTCTACTCGTATCCTTATCCCACGGTAGCAGCGATTTTTTTTAACGTAGAAATCAAACAGGTGTTAAAGGATGGCATTTTTCGGCCTTCTAGGTCGCCGTTACACAGCCCAACATGGTTGTTGACAAAAAAAAGAACCAATGCCAACGGCAACAAAAAAAACGGCTGGTGATCGATTTCAGGATACTGAATGAATGTACCATTGCCGATCGGTACCCTATGCCGAGTATTCCTATGATTTTAGCGAATTTAGGAAATGCCAAATTTTGTACTATCCTAGTAAGACCGCGAAAAAAAATTTTCTCCATTAGCGGGGGAAAGTATGAAATTTGCCGTCTACCCTTTGGACTAAAGAAGGAAGGAATCATCTTTCAAAGGACGATTGACGCGGTGCTTCGCGAACCAATCGGGATATTTGTTACGTCTATAATTATGACGATTTGATTATTTCTCCGTAAATGCGGCGGACCCACGTCATACACATTGACACAGTTCTTAAATGCCTGTGTCAAGCCAACATGAGAGTGGTCCCAGAAAAAACCAAATTTTTCAAAGAAGAAACGGAGCCAAAACAGATCCGCAAAAAGGTAAAAAATCTATAGATATTTACAAGATATATTATATAAAAAAGTGAAAAAATATCACATTTCTCAAAGGTAAGGGTATGACAGTTTTGAGCGGTTAGTGGGCGTTGGAGTGGGCATGGCAAAAATTTTTTGGCAAATCTATAGAAGTTTTCAAGATATAATAAATTCAAAAATGAATAAATATGACCTTTTTCAAAATTGTGGGCGTAACAGTCTTGTTACGCGTAGAAGTGGGCGGTTGTTTGGAAAATGTTTAGAAATTTACCAAATATATAAAAAAAAATTCACATTTTTCAAAAGTGTGGGCGTGACAGTTTGTGGGCGTTAGAGTGGGCGTGGCAACATTTGAAAACAAACTTGCGGTGCGTCTATGTCTCTATGTACCTTTTACTCTACGAGTAACGGGTATCTGGAAGCTGCATGCTTAATCTTAGCTGCTAGCTTTTATAGTTCCTGAGATCTCAACGTTCAAACAGACGATCAGACACACGGGCAGACACGTCCAGATCTCCTCGGTTATTGATCCTGATCAAGAATATAATTACTTTATATGGTCGCAAGTGCTTCATTTTACCTGTTACATACTATTCAACGAATCTAGTATACCCTTTTACTAGTAACGGGTTTTACGAATACCTGGTTCAATAATAAAACAAAATCTGAAGAGATAAACAGATTCGTAAAAAAATAATAGATGTTTTAAGATTTTCAGATATACATAAAAAAATTTTTTTTAATACATTGAATACCTACAAATACGTTTATAATTAACGAGGGTAGGGAAATTTCCTTAAATATTAAAACACAAAGAGTTAGAAAAAATAAACGTAAAAAAAAAACTTATCAGTTAAAACTTCAGCTTTGTTAAGCAGCCATAATAAAGACATACAAAAATATATAATTATAAATTGCCCAGATAACATAGGCCGTCAAAACTATTACATAAACGATAACCTTGAATATTTTATAAGTAATGGAAAGAAAGTATCACTGTTCAGTGCATCTCTCAAATTTTTACCAATAAATTAGCGAAATGCCAACACGAATCTGTATCAAAAAATGAATCTATGAAATATTATTATTATGTTACATTGAGCCTAACATTATTTGCACATACAATTTAAGTGAAACACAAACTAAACATTTTTGCGAAAATTTCCACAAAACAATAAAGGGCAACGATATCAAGATCACCGGATTCCGAGATCACACCGATTTGGCATTACAAAAGGGGTGGACAAAATGTTTTTGGTATTCCTATAAAAATTGGCAAGACTAATAATAAAACGAACTGTTGGAAATAAACTTGCACAGCGTAGGCGTCACTAGAGTCTGCGTCTAATCCAACATAGTAGCTTAAATTATTTCCGAGATCTCTTAGTTCATACGGAAAGATGGACATGGCCAGATCGTCATGGATATTCATCCTGATCAAGATTCATCCTGATGGTTGAAAACGCTCTTCTGCCTGTTACATATTTTTCAACGAATCTATTATACCGTTTTACTCTACGAGTGTCGTGTATAATTTTATTATTCTAATTATTAAATTAATATATTATTATTAAACATTATATGTACCGAAACGATTGTTAGAATTGAAAAAAATATTCCCAGTAAAAAAAAAAAGTTTATTGTACAATTTACAATATTAATAATTATCATTTTAAGGATAACTTCTTACTCAATAGGTCCGGCTCTAGCTCGTCGACGTTGGGGGTGGAGGTCTTGCTCAGTCTGATCTGGCATTTGCTTATTATTTATCAATCAAGAATTGAGCGTGCTGCGACGGCATACGAAAAGATATCGAAAATCGGGTAGAGAAACGTAAACAAATCCCAAAAGAGACGGTTAAAGCTGTTAGAGAAAGAAAAGAGGAGGGAAATTCGGTAATGAGACGTAGGTGTTATTACGTCATCGGAGACCCGCCCAACCTATGATCACCATCTTCGAGTCTCACTCGGGTGATCCCTTCTGATACCCCTTATGACTGCTGAACCATCTGCCGAGCTCAAACAAAAAATAATTACTCCATGATTTCGATAGTATACATTTTAATAATAATAATTAAGTCTAACAGCATAATAAATTTTTCTTCCTAATATCGCAAACATCTGCATGCGTACAAAATGGGTTGGATTAGGCAACGCCTAAGAGTAGGATTTAGATCACCAATAATAAGCCGAATATAAAGAATAAGATACAAAATAATAATTAATTGAATAGTACATGCTAAATAAGCATTACAGTAACGGTATCATTACGTTTTAGTTATAAATATATATATACGTTCATTGTGTCTCTCTTAGGTTAATTAATAGTTTTAATTAATATTTTAATTTCGGTGGGCATGACTATATCTTCTTTAAATTTACTTTCTTTATAAATTCCCTAAACTTTTATTTGAGCGTTCATCGTGTACTTGGTTTTCTAACTAGATTTAGTTTAATTTTTATATTCCAAAATATTTATTCTTTTAACGAAGATAAGTCGGTTTTGTTTGGTTCGGTTTTAAGTAGTTTTAACTAAATTCATCTTGATTTTAATTATCAATTTATTTTAACGTTTAATTGGCAAAGTGACTTTTGTTTAAATTAAAATGTTTGGCAAAATACTAGCCAATAATTATATTCTTTGTTTGTTGTTACTCACAGTGAAATAATTTTTGCAGCGACGAAAGAGCGATCTCCCGAGCGATGGCTGTAAACGAATGCGACTTAAGATCGCCATGGGTTAATTTAAACAAATAGTGTTCACAACATGTAGCCAGCTAAATCTTTTAAATCTTTCTCTCAAACTTAAAACCGTATTAGTTCACGACTGCTTAATTATTAATAAAAATTTTAACGAGACGGCTAAATCATTTTTATGAGATAATTTCTTAACTTCCAAATCTTTTAAATTTACAAATTTAATTTAATTTACGAATTTTTTTGTTTTGTTCAATTCTATTCCATTTCATTTCAATGATTCTCTTTTTTTCCAGTTAGTAATAATTCGATTTGTAATCAAATTAATTAATTTCAAAATTCTTTCTCGCAGTGTAATTAACGTAAACAAGCATTGGCAGCATGGCTTTCGCCGAACTCGTGACCGCTTAGAGAACTCGTGACCGCTTATAAAACTAATGTGTGGCCTTTAAAAAATGTTCGTCTCTATTATCCAGGGATCACTGTATGGGTCCGAAAAACCCACATTTTACAAATCCAAATCCAACAGCCTGGGTTCGGACACGAGTATGGGACTTAAATCTGCCTTTTGGCCACCTTTACGGCTATGCCGACTGCACTGAGAACACTGAAGGACTACATTCGCACTATTTACTCCTTTTTATTCTTCTGGCTACACTTTGAGATTAAATTCCCTCGATGCTCTGCTGGCCGTAGAGGGTGCTCCGCCGGACGGAGAGGCTTAGCTCTGCTTCCTTAGCTGCCGAGCTAGTTGCTGCGCCTTTCTAGGCGATGGTGTTGCTGGTGCCCGCTGCCCTGCAAGAGGGGTGCTACGCTGGACGGGGCGAAAAATCCCAATCGGCGATGGGGTCCGGCGCTGTTGCTTCTGGAACACGTAGTCCGTTGATTCCTCAGCAATGGCGGAGGGGGCGCTCTGCCGTCTTGTCCGCTGCGTCTGAAAGGGATGCTCCTCTGGACACTTCCTTGCCTTTCGCCAACTTATTAGAAATTGAGAAAATTTTCCCTCGTGGGAAAGAAGCACTAAGTCGCTGAGGTTATGTTTAGTTATATTGAACCCGCACTCGATTAAAACGCGTGTAGTCACTTCGGAATTTTCCAAGAAAAGAATAAGACCGGAATTTGATCTCAGGCCGGTGCAGCCTAAGTGCAATAATTGGCAACGAACTATTTAAAGTGCATACTTTCAGGCCAAATATTAATATATGGGTAAAACGCTTCAGGCGCTGTTACAAAATAAAACTGCGCTTTAATATATGAAGATACAAATTGTTGTTTTAATATGTCTCGAAGCGAAAGATGTAATTAATATATACATATATGCCGAAACTCGCACATGATACTAGGTTTCATCTGTTACAACTTCATCGTATTTAAGCATCTTCTGAATTATCTTATTATTAATAACCTCCTTTACATTGTTGGACCACAAAAAATCATAATGGTTCCAATCTACGAATGGAATGCGGTATAGTTGGGCGCATGGTAGGAGTGAAGCCAGATACTTCACATCCCCAACGGCAGACATATAGTCATTTTCGCTGTAGTACATATCCACACAGCTCTTAATGTATTGGACGTTGTAAGATGGAGGCGTTGGTTGATGGTAAATGATTTCGTTTAGCTCCCGTCCATGATCATACTGTCGAAAGTCGCCAGACCTGTAAAGCTGCAGGTAGTGGATTACTTGGGTGGAAGATGCCCCTGCTGGGTGTGTTTCACAAACGTCCGGCAGCAGAGTCTACTTGGTGTCAAGACTATTTTATAAGTTACGATCAGTTAGGATCCAGAGGGCCACTAACCTGGTTCAAATGCCGTGTTCCCCACCCGCCGATAAAGCCCAGAAGCCCAGAGCACAGAAAATTGAACATTGAGCTTCTTGCGCAGATGTGCCCACATATTAGTTTCTGTAAATTAGTAATAGGCAGTAGCTCCATACCGCCTAATAACCAGCTTAGAAAGGAAGGCGATCCAAGTAAAATGCCACCCAACTTGGACAGAATAAAAGAGTGGTAACGCATGTAAGCTATAGGCGCCAATAAGTGAACGGAACGCAACTTTTCGTTGTACAAAGGCAGAGAAGACATAAGAACGAAAAATGTCGTGGTGCCCTGCGAGTGTGCAACGAAATGCAAAGAGCTGGACTGACTCTCCTCCAGCGCATAGTCCAGCATGGCGGCGAGGTCATAGACACCTATCTCGTGCCAGCTGAATCGCCAGAATTCGGACCTGTCCGGATGGATATGCTTGTGCTGCCGTGAATATGCGTTTCCACGTGCATTGCCAAGCCAAACATCGTAGCCGGCGTCAGCGAGCATGTAGGCCAGAGACGTCTCCGGTCCGTTGATAATCCAGTCGTCGGAAGCACTCAGGATGCCATGTTGCAAAAAGACTACAGCGCTTTGACCCGCTCGGTTCAGATGACTTCGGTTTGGAGACGATGGGATGCGGTAAATAGTAAGGATGTAGTCATCATATGTGATTACTGTATGCTCTTCTACCGGGTAATTGTGTTTGGAAATCGACATTGCCTGTTAATAGATTTGAAAAAGTTGATGGACATTAAATGAAATAAGTTTCAGCTGTAAGCCGAAGCTAATTAATTATATAATATGTAATTAATTATATTAATTATGTGTATATTAAAAACAAAAGATAACACTATTGTTGCGTTCATTCATTAACAGAAACCCGTTATTCAGCTACAGAGAGTGCAAAGTGGAAATTTCAAAAGACTTGGGCTTAAGAGGGGGCGTGGGCAAAATGTTTGTTTGTATTTGTCGATTTGTTTGTGTAAAAGTGGGTGTGATAACATCAAACTTGTGATGTCTCAGGAATAGGAATGGCAAATATTATTATATAGTTCCTACTTAATTATAGTTCCTGATGACGTTTATAAGGACAGATAAGCAAATGGATCGACTCGGTTAGTAATTCTGCTTAAGAATATATAAATTAAACCATTTGTATTATTAAATGGTTATTTTATTAGAGCCAACTGCTCTGAATTCTGGTCTGTTACGAACTGAAGACAAATCAAATTTATTTAGGCCGCCAAGTCTTCGGTTGGAGGCAGCGGACTCAGCAGAGCGCTTGGTCAGCGCCTCGTGCCGTCTGGAGTTTCCTGCCTTCAATGGTCACCCAGCGCGCACATACCAGCCTCGCATTACGCTGAACCTTGCACATCGCTTTCGTTAAAGCGAAATGCGTTACTGGGCTGGCTCAGCGTCGTCGATGTCCGTTCTTGGATGGCATTTCGGCGGGTCGTTGCACCCCTCTGACTTGCTCGTGTTAACTCCTCCATGTCTTAAGATGAAGTCGTCCCCGGATTCAATGGTGCTTTCAGACGGTAGATGAGAAAGACGATGACCAGGGTTATTGAGGCTGTGGAGGAGACAGAGCAAAAGATCCAGGTGTTGCCTGATGGCAGTCTGGATTGAAGGTGGTTGATGTGCTGCAGATTTTTAACGCTCATTCCGTGAATTGATGACAGACTAAGGCGCTCTAGATGTCTCAGAACGTTTACTTGAGCCATGGCTGTAACTGCGGCCTTCTTCTTTGATGTTCCGAAATTGTTGACGTAAAGGGTGCCGTTTATTTTAATTTTTTCGGTATATGATACCAGGTAAGTTCCTGATATTATCCGGCTTATTCCCTTTTCGTCGGTGATATTTATCGTTACATCGTTGGTGATGAGCATTCCCTCGTCGATCATGGTGACTGGGTCCAAGTGCCCAGGCTGGGTGTTGCAATGGGCGACCATGCCAGAGATGAGTTGTTGTGCGCAGGTTGGCGCTTTCGATCTCCTATTTTCATGCTGTACCGGGAATATTCTTATTTTTCTACAAGTTAACAAAGGCTTCGGATATTACAATAGGCCTCGATTTTAAAAAGTTTTTATGCTGGCTACCTCTAAAATATCTGACACGCTAACGTTTGTGGGATGCTTACTTTCAATCCTTCCTTTACGTCAACGTCATTCAAGATTATTGGACTTATTACGTTTAATTTGGAAAGGGTGATTGCAAGTATTAAATTTTCAAGTTCTTGAATTACTCGTACAAATGTTCTGTGTCTAAGTTGTCTGATTTTAGAATAGAATTCATGGATGAGGTCAGTGTGTTTAATTGCAATTGTATTTAACAAACGTCAGCAAAGTACAAAAAGGTGATAATATAAAAGAATTTATAAAAAATATAAAATTAAATTGGCCACCCTCTTACCGAAGTTTGTCCTTATGGACCACTCTCCCCTTAATAAGCACTGTCGTGCCCAGATCAGCCTCAATGACCTCTTCTGAGCAGAGTGGCGTTAATTTGGTACCCAGGCGTCTGTTGGTTTTTAACCAGACTTTTTCGCCTACTTGGTACTGCTTATTGCTTTTGTGTGCATTTGAGTACGTAAGTGTTTTCCCTTGAGCCTCTTTGATTTTGTCCCTTATTGTGCCCGCAAGATCTGGTAGAATAGCGTGAACTATTTCGTGAGGCTTTTTATTTGTAACCGAATGGACAGTTCTGTTATATTCTATTGTTGCAAATAGAATAAGGTCGGTCGCATCAGTTATATTTTGGTCTATCTTGATGCACCGTGCGATTTCCGCTAGGGTGCTATGAAATCTCTCAACTTGGCCATTAGATATGCTGTGCAACGGGGGCGCATTTGAGACCTGTACACCATACCTATTTTCTAGGATGGTTCGTATGGTTTGTGAATTGATAGACCTTTCATTGTCGCAGTAAACTGTTTTTATTTTAGGGAACAGATTTTTTAGTTGTAGTATCGGAGTTTTGATATCTACGATTGCTCTTGAATTGATTGATATGACTATAGCGAATTTTGAAAACTTGTCGATACAAGTTAGAAAATGCTTTTGATCAGTTGAAAATATATCTATGTGGATAATTTCCCCAGTATAACCGGGAATTGGTGTTTCCGCTATGGTTTGTTGTACTGGGTGACGATTGTATTTTGCTTTGGAACACGTTCTGCAATTTGCGGTGATTTCTGCCGCTAGCTGTCCCATTTTGGGAAAAAAGTAGTCACGAAGGACCTGTTTTACGTTTTCCTGTCCTGCTCTATGGGCTCTATTGTGTTCCGTGGTCATAATTTCCCTTAACTAATTTCCGTACTGTTTGTTATATCGATGACCAAGCTCTTACAATGTCTAAATGTCGTTGTTCACACTATAAACTAATGCGTACACTTAATGAGTTCAATTCGGGTGTTTGAATCTAACTGACTCGCTACTGCGAGGGCATCGCCTTTTATTCATTCTTACATAGGTTCTTATCATCTAATTATATAATGAAGCGCTTGTAAGACACTGCAGTCTGCGTTGGTCAATGCAGCTGAGGTTTATCTTAATTCTATGTTTGAAGCCTATGACCGCGCTAGTCACCTCCCGCGTGATCATATCTCTTGACACTTCGGCAATAGACCACTGCAATCATACTTATCTGTAGTTGCCACTTATGCTGTCCCGTGACATGTTTATTGCAGCCCTTAAATAGAACATATTTATAGTTTGTCTACTTATCATCTCTAAACACATGTTTAGACAGTCGTCGAGGGAAAAGCGACGATTAAATCGTGCTGAATGAAGGCGAGTATAGGTAGCTCGCTGTGGATTGAGGACATTTATTTTTACTAAATCTTTTAGTGAGAGAAGCAATGTTGTGCGATCTATAAATCGCACAATGTGACGCGTTTTTGATTTAAAAAGGATGATTGACTTTATATACGGTAAATTCGCCTGTTCGATCACTATTTGCTTCCTAAAACAGTTTACAGGTTTTTCTGTTGACTCTACAGTGTAGGTCAACGACTCCTCGCTGTGGATAGTAGCGATGTCGGAGTGTGTCTCATTATCTAAAGCATTTACGTTTACGCGACAAGGCGTCGGCTTCGTGGTTTTCTTTTCCCGGCTTGTAGAACACTTGTGCGTTATGTTCATCAACAAACGCTTTCCACCTTTGAGCCTGGGATTCGGATTTTTATCCGACATTGAACCGGTCAGTGAAGGTCGGTTCATGGTCGGTGAAGATGTTTAACTTCTTTACGCCATATAAATAGTTTCTGAGATTTTGAAGTACTACTATTGCTAGTAGTTCTCGTTCATTTGTTGCCATTGAAATCTCGGTTCCGTGTAACGTGCTAAAAATCATGGTGATCGGACGACCTTTCTGTGAAAGAACAGCCCCTAGGCCGCTTCCAGAGGCGTCAGTGGTCAAGTCAAATGGCTGAGTGAAATCTGGGTATGCCAACATGACATCCTCAGACTCTAGGATGTTTCTTAGTTTTTCGAATGATTTTCGATGCTCGTTGGTCAGTTCCAGTTTGACTTTCTTTGAGTGGTTCGCACCAATTTTTCCGTTGTCACCTTTTAGAATATTCGTCAGAGGTCTTGCGATGCTAGCAAACCCCTTTATGAAACATCTATAATAACTGGCCAATCCCAGAAATGACCTGAGACTGAACAATGTGGATGGAGGTTGCAATTCTTTTATAGCCTTAACCTTTTCTGGTGAAGTTTTAATTCCCCCTCGGGACACTATGAATCCCAAATATTCCACGTTCTCTTTAAAGAACTTAGGTTTTTCTACAGACACTCTCATGCCTCCATCGCACAACGTTTTTAGAACCGTGTTTATATCGTTGACATGATTCTCCATTGTTTGGGAGAAAATGATTACGTCATCGACGTAGACATAGCAAGTTTTACCGATGTGTTCTCTCAGAACATCATCTATGGCCCGTTGGAAAATACTAGGGGCATTTTTTAAACCAAAGGGAAGTCTGCAGAATTCATACTTCCCGTTGTTGACCGAAAAAGCTGTCTTTTCTCGATCGCGCTCCGCGAGCTCAATTTGATGTAAGCCCGACTTTAGATCAAGAGTCGTGAAGTACTGAGCTTTTCCAATGTTCGACAGTATGGTCGATATGGATGGTATAGGATACTTGTCGTCAAGTGTTTTCTGATTCAGTTTCCTGAAGTTAATAACGAGTCGTTTCTTCCTATGACCTTCTTCGTCAAAACCTTTCTTATCAACAACCCAAATTGGGTTATTGTAAGGCGACCGGGATGGCCTTATAATTCCGTCTGCTAGAAGTTGTTTAACGTCCGTATTGCCGAAATCGGCTACACCCATCGGATATGGGTAAAGTTTTGAATGTACGGTTTCCCCGTCAGTGCGGATCGTGGCGACCGTATTTATATTAAAGGGCATGGACTCGTTTGGGTCCGCAAAGGCTTTTGATCTGTTTTTTATCATCTTTTTGCCTAAAAAATTACATGATTCGGAATCGGACGTGTTATCTGCCTCGATTTCCGCTGCTTCGTAGGATGACTTTACCCTATACTCCTGGTCATTTGACTGCTCTTGAGTCGTATGGCTCAACCGTTGACGACTGCGAGCTGTCTGTTCGCTCCTGAATTTAGAACGTGATGTGGGGTCGCCGTCCATTGGTTCAGGACCTAGGTTTTGCGTACAGTCTTTCCGAGGATTATTTGGTTCATTGTTCTGTTGCGTTT